TTGAATTTACTTTTATTATATAAAAAGTAAAAAATATAATAGTATTAACCTTCCCGCATATATCATCAGTTTTTTTTTTTCTTTTAAGCAATACGCTTCCACACTATGGAGCAGAATATGGTAAAAACTTTAATCCTAATTATCTCACTTTGACCAAAATGATAGATGTGCCCTTCTGCATTACGACGACAGAATAAATGATCGAATATTGAAAGCTGTAATAATTACATACCGTTGTAAAACAATTTTTGTGAAAATATTTTCTTACGCACTTTTTTTAAATAATTTTGTTATTCGTTTTTTTTAATGTTGTTTAAAAATACATATAGAGTACAACAGGCTGATGACGTAGCTATTGGATTTTTTCAAATGGTTATTTTGCCACCATAGACGTAGAATAACTAAACTACTTAATTTAGATTTAGTCCTATCGAACGTCTTCAATTGTGAAAATAACTAAGATAATAGATTTCTTTGATGAAATGCGACTACGGAATATCGTTAAAAAACTCTAAATATATATTTTTTCTTTATTTTAAAGAGTGGTACAGTGGCACGTCGGGTTATAGAAATATGTCTAATTAATCCAATGATGTGTGGGTAAGATTTAAAATCAACAGGCGAATGTTATCATATTGTATCGATATCTATTTGAAGATCATATTTATGGAACCCCTGCTCAGTAATCCGAATAATTTAAAACTGGAAAAAACGTTTTTTTACGATCCAATGTAAAGTTTTTGTTTATTCAATAAAAAAATTTACTTTCTTTAAACTATTTTAAAATAATTTTAAAAACTGTTGGTGAATTTATTTTACTTTCAATGCGAAGTCGATAACGCTCTATATTGAAGCAGTAGCAGATTCCGCGATATTTTTATCCCAATATAAGTATGGAACATACAAAATATATCTATATATTACTCGGTAATAAAGAGCTTGAACTAGGAAAAGGATTTTTTATCAGCTAAAAAATGATATCTCAATAATTTGTATTGCCAATATCTGTTAGAAAATTGGGAAAGGATATTGATCAATGTAAAGAAAATCAGTAAATTTGAGGCTACTTGAGGCCAATACTTATGAAAGCATAATATTACACTTGCATCTATAGTTGAGTAGAAGTATTTTTTGAGTGGGTAATAGCATTTAATAGTAATTTGCTATTACCTTTTGTTATTTATTATATTGTTATATAGACATATAAATATCTTTAACAAATAAAAAAAATGTTAGTGAAGTAAGAAGTGGCTTCAGGGAACTGCATAGCCCCTTACAGCAATAAATAATAATAATAAAGAGGTGGCTCAGTAGCATAGTGGCGAAGCACCGCGGCCTACGATCGTTATTGTTTAGCAACTTTAACTTTCACAAAGGTTGGTCATAGGATGGGTGACCAAAAAAATTGTATCTCGAGCTACTTCGTGCTTCGTAAAGTACTTTAAGCAATTGCTCCCGTCTGTATTTGCAATTGTTAATACCCTCCAATCCGCATAAAGAAGGCTTCAGCCCCTGCATTGGACGTTCAAGGGCTGATGATGATGAAAAACTCTCAAAAGTTTTAATACTATCATTCTTTATAAAATAATTACTATTTTCATTCAAATTCTCCTATAAAGTTTAAAAAAAATTAATTATTACTTTTACTCAAGTGATTACTTCCACTCGACTACAGATACGAGTGGTAATGTGGATTTCACGAAAAAGTTAATATCACAATCATATTCACAAGTAACTTTAAAGATTAGTGACCATTAACACTTCTTCATTGTCAGAGTATTAACCCACGTGTAAGGGTACCGTATGCACCGCCATTGTTGTTTGCGTTTCCCGCCAAATCTCCGAACTGTCATTTGTTTGAAGCAGGTAGTCGAGCTATTGAGTCACCCCACACAGTCTGTCCGTACCACGCTTCGGACTATATCGTATTTCGTAAAGCTAAAATGGACGCGCGTGTAATATTTGGAATATTTACTTACGATTTAGTGTTATTAACAGCGTGTAATAGTGAATTATGAGATTGTTATTATTAAGTTACAATTACTAGTGATTTGTGTTATGAAACGGTATATTTTGTAAAGATAATTGTGTAGTTTCTCATTGTGATTTAAGTGTGGTATCGTGTTTTTTTATATGCCAATTGTTACAATGAATGTATACGAAGATTTGCGTCATTTTATTGATGGTGTGTATTTTGCTACACATTTTTTGCTTTTTAAATTACAGTGTAATAAATAGTATTCATTAAAACTTCATAAAAAGTTAACATATATAAAAAAAAACATGTATTCACAAGTAACACAATATTATAATCACTTGCCAGCATCATCCACTAATGTATTAGCTTTAAGTCTTTTGAAAACTCGTGTCGTTCTTTTTAATACTTTAATTTTAAGGTCTCTTTGATCCATAAAAGTGAAAAGAGAGCGACAGAACCTTAACGCTGGTTAATGACTAAAATGATGACGCATTTTACGAAATAATGCGTCAAAACTTAAAAAAATATTACGAAAAGATGCGAAAAATATTTTTAGTTAATGATTGAAAACTATTATATTGCAGGTTTTGTTAAAAGGTTCAGTATTAGATATGAGTTGCAAAATTACTCGTAGTATGTTTATTAATATTAGTCAATAGAAAATTATGTTTTTTTTTTTTAAGATCCAATTTGATTGTACTACTCGTTACTTGTAACATGTATTCTTTTTTATGGCAAGAGTCTTATGAATTTCTCCTTTTGACACGATCAAAATAATTTATGGTGTCGTTTTCCAAACTCAAATTAGTATAGGTACTAATAGGTAATTAGTATAGGTAATATTATGGCGTTGATAATAACGCCCTCTATAAGTATAAAACCAAAACAGTAACGTTACGTATCTTAACTTTATAAAATAAAATTTCCTTTTTCATTTAAAAATTATCTTTTGGCGACATCTTCAGGTTATTCGACGTCTTTTATAAGTTTGCTTTATTGTTAAAGCAAACTTATAAAATACGAAAAATGATTGTTCGTTAAATTAGAAATGACGACTCTGAACGTCTTCGCCAATTTATTTTAAACTATCTCTGAATTTGCTACCAATATATTTTGTAGTAATGAAAACTTTTCCACCTATACCTATGTACACTATGTACAGCCATGTCTGCACGTCAGATTACAACAATATGTCAAATATCTTTAATCGATTAATACTCTACTCTCAAAATATTAAAGTTTAAAATCAAGTGGAGAAATTTGCCAGATTTGTATAGCCTAACGTTCTATTGACTGTACCTAATATTAAACGTTTGTTTAGTGAAACGTGCACAACTCAGCTGGTATGCTACTTCGGCATATATATCTTTTAAATAAAGTAATATGTACTACCTAGGTAAATAATGATTGATCGTAACCTAATTACTTAAGAAACGTGACGTTTATTATTATCCTTGACGGTATTCGAACTCTTTGCAAAGCCACCTGCCTAAGTAATGAGGGAAGATGTATGAATAAAAAAATAAATTATGTACTATGATGATACTGTTCCTCAAATTTCTGTCAATTCTTGACCAGAAATTATATAACTAAAATAAAATTTACGAAACTTATTACATACTAAAACGAAAATGAAGATATTAGAGATAAGCGATGGCTTATTTTTAAAATTACCTAACTAAATTCACTTTAAATCTGAAAGAAAATCAGAATGCATGTCATAGATAATTTGATTGAACACTACTCTCAAAGTACGTAGTGCCATGTTGCCTAATCTGAAGAACTATTTTTTAAAAGTTTCCTGATTGCGCTACTCGAGATGAGATCCTATCAGTCAGGTTTACCAACCTTAGGTGTTCAGCTCAAAATTTAAAACTGAAATATGCTCGTTATGCTTTACTTAAGGCCTTTTTAGGCCTTTATAGCATGCATAATATTTGATGTACCGAAACGAGTAAATATAGCAAAAAGAGAAATAAGCCAGGGATAGCATGCATGCATGCATTTCAAATAAATGCAATTGAGATATCGCCTCTCTAGCCAGGTCTAGCGATAGGTTTACCAACTCAATTGTTAAGAAATCCGGGACACAAAAAAAGTAAATAAAATTAAAAACTATTTTATTAAAAGTTGTATTTTTGAACTGCGAGCAGCTTTAGCACTTTTTGATTAGAAAGAAAACCATAGAATTCTTAACATATCTAATTAAAAGGCGGGCGACTAGTTTTCAGATTTTAAAAATATTAAACACTACTTCACGAATTTCTCGCACATAACAGCAATGACTATTTAGTTTGTCCTCATTTATTTATACCTTCCGAGAATCACCCCAGCCTTTTAATTCATACAAGTTAATTTCTTTGTCTATTGTCAAAATATTACATTTATTTGTCATCGAATTCGTACCAATTATTCAAATAAATCAAACATCAGTCGCAAATGCGGGAGATTTTAGATGCATTGATGGAGCCGGGTGATTTATAAAAGTAATGCATTTTTCCAGGACATTTGACAACCTTACGTAGGATTTGACGTCTTAGCGATTTAATAGTGATATTTCGTGTAATTTTACATCACATGATGGAGTCCTGGCTAGAGAGTTTGTCGATCGCACCGCACCTACTACTAGCGGATATTATCACAAGTAAACGTATATGTTATTTTAGGTCTTTAAATGTATTATGTAGTGATAGTGTGTAGGGTGTAGGGTTACAATTTTTTTTAATCTTTAGTCTACTATTTTCGGAGAGTTAGTAATACTCTCGACACGCGAGTAAGCGTGTTTTCAAAAATATTTAGGTAATCTACTTAACCTCAAAGTATGTTTCTATAAAACAGACTGTGTCCATTTTATGTACCATCGTGATAATAAAATCCACAAAAATAATTAGTTTTAAGAATATAGCTGTTTTAATTATTTCACTGATATTTTTTTCTTTCTTCCACAGATGAGAAGACAAGATGACGAGGCAATTTGACGTACACACATAACGTAAAAACAACGTAAACAAATCCTACCACCATGGTCTCAAAAGACCAGGAACCACTAGAGAAAACTGTATCGGACCACAGGCAGACCCTGCAGGACCTCAGATCTCTTCTAGAGGACAGAGGGGGTACAACAACAAAAAATAACCTTAGCAATAATAGCCCTTATGGAGTACAGAATAAAGATAGTAATAAGTGGAGGTGTAGATACAGAAAAAGGTGCTTTAGGTTTAAGACATTAGTGTTTTCGTTAGTGTGTGTGTTTGTTCAGGCGTTGATATTGGCTGAGGCGAGAAGTTCAGGTGAGTTTCTATATACATACAATTATATTTAATTATCCGTGCACAAAGGGTCAAACATGGACCCATTAGGTATGCACAATACACGTCAGGTTTACCACAATATGTCAAATTATCACAATTGATTTTCAACTCTACCCTCATTGAGTTAAGGTTTTGATTAAGTGAACAAAGACAGATTTGTATAGCTTGACGTATTGTTGACTATACATTAACATTATCCGCTAGTCAATCTTTAGTTGATGATATGAATAGTATATTAAAGTAAAAAAGTTCATATGCAAATCAGAAAAAAAACACGCGTTAGTGCTTAGGTAATTATAAAACAATGTTGCCAAGTTCCGAAAAATGGTTCCGTTTTTTCTTGTTAGGTTGACATCGATCTATTTATTAGTAGGCAATTCAGAATAAACTCACGGAATGTACTTTTTATATCACAAACCACTGATCCGTGACATTGCCATTTACATATTGACAAACTAATATTGCAAAACGCAACTTAGATCTTTGTAATAAAGGTCAAAATCACGCCCGGTTCGAATCGATTTGATACTTGCAAATTATTACCACGCGCCGCTGAATACGAGATACGCCTTTGCTATTTGACAATGAAGCAAAAAGGTCGTATCGTTACTCACCAGAAAATATCAAAGAGATCGATATATGCGCGTGCGCCCCCGACTGGGACGATAATTGACAATATCGCGTCGAGATCTCTAGCGAAAAATCGATAAAGACCGATCGTTAATCGATATGATTTGAAATGAGTATTGATTTTCTTTGCGACATTACTTTGTGATTATTCATAAAGATAAATTCATGTCTGATCTAGGTATCTACACTAATACATAAAAAATGATATACTACTTACATTTTTGTTTGTTCATAACGGATAAACTCGAAATCTTGAATTAAGACTTTCAATAATGAATGGTATAATTAATGATTCAAGTTTCAGTGTCATTAAGACTTCATTACGATTAGCATTCGTTTGGTTTGGTAAAAACGGGGCCCTATTACTTAGGCTTCGTTCTCTCCGATCTGTCACCAGGCAGATATCTCAAGAACCGTCATAGTAAACAGACTCAAACTTGACCAGTTTTTCTATTGCGTCAACCGTACCTAAATTTTCAGTATAATTTCTCAAATAATAGATACCTCACTCTTTCTTTTGTTCCGGTGAAGGGCGGTTAGTAAATACAAAGATTTGATGGCATAATAAAATGAATCCGATGGAAGTGTTGCTTCTTATGGTATTATATTAAGGTTCATTTCGCTAAGTTATTGGTGTATTCATTGTCAATGATTTGCCTTAGAGATTACAAGAATTTAGTGTTTAATAACACTCTATTGTGTCAACAATAATGTGTTAACTGAAATGGTTACTTTTATGACGTTTATTAGATACTAACTGTATTCCGCGACTTCGTCCGCGTAAATTATAGCTTATATTACCCACGTGTGATGTATGGAACTTTCTATAAGTGGAATTTTTTCATCATCGGACCAGTATTTCCAAAGTTTTCCCCTAACAAACAAAGTTAGTCACTATGCCTCTTTATAATATTACAATAGATATACTATATCCTAGGATTTATCTGTTTTTTTTTTATTATCCTATTTACTCCCCTGGTAAAAATATTCACCAGGTAATCATTAATTTAAATAACAGATAGTAGATTCGGAACGTATTAGCTGACAAACATATCAATTAGTATTTCGTATTTTAGGGATCCGTACTCAAAGGCTAAAACCAGGAGCTTGTCTGTAACTCATGAACCGTGATAGTTAGATAATGAAAATTTTCACAGATAATGTATTTCTATTGCTGCTATATCAACAAATACCATTACAAATAATATATTTAAAGGATCTATCTATGAAAAACCACGTTTGTGTGATTGCGGTAATGGTAGGTACAAAACCAAAACCCTTCGTGCGCGAGTCAGACAGACTCGACGTTTCATTTTTTTTTATTTTTGACAAAACCCTGAAAATAATAGAAATAAGTGTATGTGGTCTGCGGTATTATCAATGGGAAAAATACATTGACGTCACAAGAATTACTCAACGGCTATGTGTCACTCTCATACGAGCTTAGTGACACATAATTAATGAAGAACACTAGGCATTCATTACATTTGTAAAGAGTTTGCTAGAGTACGTCACATTTTGAAACAAAAAAAAAATCTTGGTATCTATGCTTTTAAATTGTCTGAGTCATTGATTCATAGCGTTAAAATATGTTTCTGTAATTTTTCTAACTTATATGAAATTCTCACTAAACCATAAATTGCAACTAAATTTTTGAATGACTAATCTATTGTTGATCTCTGAGTATTGTTCACGCTTTATTAATGTGTAATTCAAAAGTAACCGCCAGAACTCTAATCGCCTACGTATTAAAGTGTACATTACTGTGACAACTGATGTCTTTAAAAAAGCGCTTTAGTTATGAAAACTTGTAATTTTAAAACGAAGATTTTTCCTGTTATCATGAGCCGCAGAACTTCTTATTTGTAACAAAAAGGTTTGTTACCACTTTATTTCTTTTTTATCTGTCTGAATACTGCCACTTTTTAGTTTTAACCTTATAAAAATAATTTAATACTTCTTGCTCAAGAATTATTAGCTATCTTTATAATAGATTTTCTTCTGGAGAAAAGAACGATGTCGTTTTTAATTTTCATATGATTAATTGATTATGAAATATACCAGTATTCGTTATTATTATAGATTTGGTTTGTCTAAATTTGTAAATATTTAATATTAAATCAATAGTTTTATAGTTTATTAATAAAATTTAAAACATAAAGATCAAAAGAAACAATTTTTTTTTTTAAGTCGGCTGAAAGATTGAAAATATCGAAATAAAATATGAAATAAAAACACCAAGCTGTTATAATTTCACCTCAACAATATAAAACCTAAATTTCATTGTAATTTTAAATCATTGGTGTTCGCATAGAATTTATATTCATAAACAAAAATAGAATATCTGTGAATGGATATTGTATGTAAAGGCGAACTTCTCTTATAAATATAGCCTTTTTAACAAGCTTCGCTTTTTAAGTCTATTTTCTCTGGGTCTTCCTATTTTTTATTATTTTTTACAGTAGACAATATCTATTATTATCTTCTCTGAGATAACAAATAAAAACTAATCTTATACGTTTGAATGTCAGAGTTTAACCATTGACGTCAAATATTCATTATGTCCCATCCCAAGTCTGGTCTTCTCGCTATTTCTATTAATAAAGAAGAATTTTCTATATCAAAGCCTACGGGAATATAAGTTGCTATAAGCTTAAAATGCTAAATAACATTTTTTGCGGATCTGCAGTCAGACAGCGATTTCTAAGACACTCTTATGTATCACCATCATCGGATTGGTGACCAAACATTTATTATCTCGATCTTACAGAAGACTGTACTTTGAAAGACACATAGAGGCACACGGTAGTTTGTTAAGGCGTGATTGGGAGCGAATGTTTACGTAATAATTGCATCCCAAGAGAATCTCGACTACTTGCAAATTGCCATTGTAGTTAAATCAGAAGTCCAATATTATTATATATTTGTTACTTGATTTGTGAGGATAAAAAATTGAACTTCAGGTAGATAGTGCAATGATAAAAACATTAGCTAGAGTTGGCCTGCTGGACGATTGTAAAGTGCTGTCAATATATGATTATATTAGGATAGGATATTTACGTTTCATTTATAACCGACTTCGAAAAGAAGGAGGAGGTTCTCAATTCAATTGTGATTTTTCAGTTTGTTACCTCATAACTTTTTGAATGGCAACTATGAGAAAACCATATAAGTCTTAAGTTTGCATTAAGTATGCGTGATTTTTGATACCACAAAACTCAAAATATCACAAAAATGCATGAAATAAAATCTTTAACAAAATGGAACCGACTTGAAATTTAAAAAAGGAAAAAATAATAGGTACATTATTTCATTTTAATTTCACAAGTAAATTTTTTTATATTTTCAATATTTTGTTAGTTTATACTAAAATACAATATAGGTGCATCTGATGTAACTTCCTATAGGTGAAAGGAAAGATCTGATTTGTATTTCTAAAGATCACCCCCTACCAACAAATAAACTTAGAAACTTTACCTCTCTACAATATTGGTATAGATTTATAATCCAACTTCAACGTAAAACCTTTGCAAAGCTAACAACAAATGCACCTAACCACTTCGGAATTTTATTAACTTTGAACCCTTTAGAAAACAAAATAATCCCTATAATCGATTGAGCCGCAAAACACGAGACAACGAACCGAATTGGATTAGCGGGAGACACGGAAAAAGAGAAAATAAAAATTAAACTGTTATTTCTCCTAATTGCTCCCTCGCAGTTTCAAAGGGATGACGAGAAAAAAGGATAGATAGAAACCAATCTACGATGAATTGAAAAAAAAATGTGCAAATATCCTGCAGGTAAAACGAGTGGTCCAATCATACTATAATCCATTAAGATTTTGCTCTGCTTCGGTGAGCACACTTCCAAACTCCCGCGAGGTAAATATTTCAGATCCCCCCCTCACCCCTCGCCCTTCCATAGTATAATGTATTCTACACCACCCGCTCAGACCTCATCTTTCCGTCCCTATTTTGCATGAAGGGGGAATTTAAATTGTGTAATCTAACTTTCAATTCATTCATACATACAGCGCCATCTCTCCGTGATAAATTGAAACTAGAATAGATGGTTGCAGTCATTTAGTTTTTGCCACTCGACTCGGCGACAGGGTGGACATATGCCGCTGTATGAGTGACCGTAATTTATAAATACAATTGGAACGTTTTTTAATTTTTGACAACTATGAAAATCCTTACTATTATATTCTTACGTAAATTATTCATTAAATTGTAGAATGTCAAAATAAGTCACACATTCATTAAGATTGGACTAATCATAATGAATGAACTGAATATAAAAGTAATTCACAATTGAAATATTCCTGAGTAAAATCAAAATCTGTC